GGACAAAATAACAGCCAAGGAACAAGTATTCAGCAAGGTTGGTCACCAATAGACCCCACTATACATTCCCAGTAAAGGTTTCTGTTAAAGTGGAACTGAAGTTCTGCTGTAAAGAAAAAAAACAAACATAGTAGGCAGGCGTTTTATTACAGAAGAGACATGCACAGTCTCTTCTGCAATAAAATGCCCCTTCCTGTCTGTTTGCCATCTCCTCCGCCACTGTAGACTGAGCTGCTGGACCGGTCACGGAGTGCCAGATGACAGCCTCCTGCGCATGTGCAGGAGTGACTACATGCCCAAAGACCAACACTCAGAAGAAGAGACTGGCACTGGACCATTGGACAGGTAAGCAGACTGTAGTTCTGCTTTAAGGACTCCATTCAATTGACCAGTGCCAGTTAGCAAAGCAAAGATGCTTCATGCACAGGTTATTTTGCATGTAAATTTTGAAGTAGCATGTAAATGTGAACTGGCTCAAATCAAAAAGGTTAGTGTACTTATAAAAAGAAGCACCCTGCACATTTCCCCCTAGAAGAGTGAGGCACATTATTCACACCTATACACAACATGCATTTGGGTGCCATTCATTCTTAAGGGCATCCCAAATGCGCTTAAATTCCGCAATCCAAATAAGTTGGCCCATTTAAAAAAAAAAAAAAAGTACAGGAGCTACTTTAACGGGTTTTTGGAGCAGAGGGGAGTCCATTCAAGTGAATGGCGTCCCTCACAAAAATAAAACATTTTTTAAAAACCCACGATGCTCCTGTGTCACTCAGCTGTGAATGGGCCCTAACTCATCACCATAGGTCAGTAAAACTGTAGCACTACTCTGAGCCAGTAACACTTAATTCTGCTTTCATCTATGTAGGATTTCCTATGGTGTTCGTATCAGACACATTCTATTCCCCTGGTTAATGTCATACTAATGTACATTCTGACTTGGGTCAGTACATTCTCTTCCAAGAAAAATGCCTTCTTAGGGGACACTATAAAAGGTATTCTGAAAATGTATGTAAATCTTTTTGTAGTTCACACATTTATAAGTGCTTTATGAGATATTTTATACTATATTTACTATTTATACATCTTTAAAATCCTGCCCCCCACCCAAAAAAAAAAAAAAAAATAGAAGTACTTCCAAGACCTTTAGGAGTTTAATTACTAAAGCTGGAGAGTGCAAAATCAGGCTCACTTCTGCATAGAAACCAATCAAATTCCAGGTTTTATTGTCAAAGCATAATTGATCAAGCTGAGGTTGGAAGCGGATTGGTTCTTATGCAGAAGTGAGCTTGATTTTACACTCTCCAGCTTTAGCTAACAAACCCCCTAGTGTCATAGTAAGCTGGACATCCAGCAGCACCTTTTCACTTGTTGGCTATCTCGATCTTAACTAAATATCCATATGTTTAACAGGCAATTCTTTCTTTGTAACAGATTCTCTTTAAGTGTTCAGATTTATCAAAGACAAAGAAATATGTACCTGTTTGTGACCTGTCCCAGTTTTATAACTCCGGTACAACTATACATCAAACATGGTACAACACCTTGAGAGTTTACATAGGACACAATACCGGGTTTGATAATAGTTAAGGACTTGCGTTTATTTACAAAGAACCATGAGGCAGAAAAAAAACAAACAAACACAAAACAAGAACTTTTAGGCTGGTACCACATGTGTTTTAGCAAATTGCATTACCAATGAAATCAATGGAAATGCATCAAGCTGTATGTTTTGAAACACAGCAATGACTATTTTCATTTATTTAAAATAGAAAACAGATATTGCCATCATGCACAGGTATAGTTTCAGCCATATTTGACATGAGGTGGTCCTAAGCTGCAATTTTAATTTATCCTTTAAAGGCCCTTTAGGACACAGTTTAGACTGTATTAGATAGCCTTACTAATAAAGGTCTCACAAAATAGTCTACACAAGGTAGGCATTACCTTTACATTAAATTCAGTCACTAACCCAGATTCAAAATGCTTTGTTAGAAACTTCTAGACACCACCAGTTGGTAATTGGTGTGCCGTGCCTCAGTATCCCTACATAAAGATGCTATGCAGAAACAGATTTAAAAACAAAAAGGAGCAACGATCAGCATCTGGAAATGGGGCATCTTCCATTCAAACATTCGTTTCTTGGGTCAATTAATGACAGGTTTAGTTTAATCTAACCCCCCCCCCCCCCTTTCAATAGTTATACTATAGTAACAATGAACTCTGGCTATTGCTACAAATAAATTAAACCCTTAAATTTATATATATATATATATATATATATATATATATATATATATATATTATTAATTACACTGTGTGATTAGAATATCCCTATACTGAATAATAATTTTTCAATTATCCAAAATAAACCGACATTTACAATCAAGGAAACTCTTCAAATATATTCTAATCACAATCTTTAAGATGACCTAAAATTAAAGGGGATACTCAACTTAGGCAAGCATTAGGAGCAATAAAATGGCTGTAAAAGCAGCTCCTGCTGCATCCCCCTTCTGGGTCACATAACTTAAAGCATGGGCACCTGTGCACTGGGTGTGATATTTCTGCAGAGTAAGGCTACATTCACACTTGAGCATAGGGCATTTAAGTAAATTATAAAAAGGCTTTTTTGTAGTGATGCACCGATATATCAGCTGCCAAAAATTATTGTCCAAAAATAGAGTTATCAGCGTTCTGCCAATAGAAAAAAAAAAAAAAAAAAAAAAAAAAAAAAAAAAAAAAAAGGGAGCCGACAATCCTAACTTTAATGCAAAATTGCATCCTATTGACGTCAATGCAAAAACACCTCTATTTAAAGTTTGCTTATTTTACATACATTTCATTTCCAAATTGTGTGTTACTTTCAATAAAAAGTGTTTTATGTTACTGGATTGTATTATTTAAATTCATGATTTTAAATTATTTAAAAAGTCTGATACAATATAATTGTATACAAAATATATATATATTTTTTTAAATAACTGTCCATTTCAGTTTCGGTTTTCGGCCAAGTACATCCTGAATTTTTGGTTTTGGTCCAGAATTTTCATTTCGGTGCACCACTACTTTATTGTGCTTTTTGAGATGCACAATTCTGTCCTAAGAAGCTCCTGTACAGGATATTGTATTTCTGGCCACACAGACTTAAGAGAAAGCCTTAAAAAACACATGGTTTTTCAGGTGCTCCCATTGACGTCTATAGGGCCCAAAATGCCCAAAGCGATTTGTTTAACAGTGAGGTGCCTAAGAACTCAAGATAAAAAACACTCAGGTGTGTATTGGGCCTAAAAGGAAGATACTGCTGATACTGGCACCAACAAAGCGGGTAAAATTAACCCAATATTCGGTTTTCAGTTTCTGACTTGGAACTGGAAATTTGCCCACATTATCCCTCTACTGTCCTTTCCTAATGCCTGCTTCATCAAGCAAAGACAACTTCACTTTAGAGATCAGGCTTGTTTGTCAAGTAAACAGTGTTTCCTTTTGCATATGTGTGAAACAATTCACCTGCTAATCTATAAAAAGAACTGACTGCTATCTACATAGAACAAATGTATGCAAACATAAAAGTGGTTAAGCCTGCTGAAATATGTGTAAGCTGCCACGAAAAATAAAACAGTTCTCAGTCACCCGTTAAAACAGAAAGCATTATAAAAAAAAAACCAAAAAAAAAACACCAGATCTATTAGGTTGTTACATAGTAATTACTTGTACAGTGGACCCATACATGTAGATTTATTTATATATATAGTATGTATGTGTGTATATGTGTAAATACAAATAAAAACCCAAGTTATCCTAGTATATGAATATAATAATATATGTTCCACTACTAATAATAAATAAGGAATGTTTGCTATTTTAAAGGGAATGTAACTTAAAGCCTCTTCATAATACCATTCATGGCAATCCATCAGAAAAAACACCCATAATTTGCCAGTTGAAAACTATAATGGTTAGTTATAACTGCATTTCCAAACACATGGACCTTTAGTTACATGGTACAAAAAAAAAATCAGTAACTTATTCTAACTGAATATTAGTTTTTAGGGCAAAAGGGCCAAGATAAAGAAACAGTCTCACGGTTTCACTACATATTGCTACATTAAAATGTGGGCCAGTTTTCATTTCTAAAACTGGATAAATTGGCAGGATGAAAATATTCATGTAACTTTAGGGGTGTCTTATATATTACCCACTTGCTTAGTATACCCATTGTACACAAAGATCAAGCTTTGGTATCCAATTCAATGTTAAATGATAGCTTTTTAGTCCTATCTAAAACTTGCTAAACCGGCATTATCTTAATATTCATTTAACTTTAGGTGTGACACACATATCAAGTGTTGGTATTCAATACAATGAGAGTATAACTAATCAGATGCCAATAACCTTATGAAGATTTTAACTTAGAATACTGGAGTGACATTCACTAATATCATTCACCAAAGAAAATCGGCTAGATATTGACAATTTTTCCCCCCAGTGCAAGATTAAGACTGAGTGGTTAGAAATGCATAGTGTGAATGATGCAATTAGTGCAGCTCTGCCCCAGAGAGCTGAAGGCTGTGTAAACAATTACCTAGTGATGGATACCCAACCACTGAAATGATTGGGAATAAGCAATCGTAAGTATGTACCTGCACATTCAACAAAAATAAGAACATCTTGGTCATAATGGATACATTGTGCAAAATTGCATTTATACAACCACAACTGTATACTTCTAAACGTTATTGTTCACATAAATTAAAAATATATACACTGACCCATGTCTTCTATTTAAGGAATCTTGCATATTTACATCCCTGCCAAAATGAAATAAAAAAAATTAATATAACTAAAATATATACATTTTTAAAGATGACACCCCTTTAGTCAAAGGGATTCTGATATGACAGCTGAATAATTATATAAGTTATCTAAAAAGGTTTATTAGTACAGGAAACAAATGTAAACAAAAATATAGATGAGGATACACAAGTAGGTGAGAGTCTTCAGGTTTCTTCTTCATCTACAAGCAAAGGTTCTACTTCCAGGGCCAGCAAGTTGGATTGTGTTGTCTTGTGCTTTCGATATACAATGAACTGTGCAGTCATCTGTTTGTTGTTGAGGAAATTACTGCTGTATACATCCACACAAGAAGTTGTGTATTAAAGAACATACACTACAATATGATGAGAGATCTCATTGACCAATAATGATGTGAAAATTGAGGAGGCATTTCACAAAGAATATGTAAATCCAAATTTCACATCGCCGATATGTGCCATGTACTTGTCTGAAGAAGTATTTTGTTCCTGCCAGTCCCTCTGCTTTCCTATTAAATTTGTACCAGAAAAGTCCAGACGGGTGACAGTATGGTTAAAAAAAAAAAAAAAAAAAAAAAAAAAAAAAAAAAAAAATTGTATTTATTTTTATTTTATTATCCAAAAAAAAAAATTGTGAAAAAAAAAAAAAAAAAAAAAAAAAAAAAAACAAACTTACCATGCCTCTTACTAAATACCTTGGGGTGTCTACTTGCCAAAAAGGAGTCATTTGGGGGGAGTACTTAAACTGTCCTGTCAGTTTAGGGCCTCAGGAAATTAGATCAGTGCCATCAGATCAATGCCATCAGTACATCAGGATTGATCAATTTTCTGATATACAGTATATACAACATAGTTTGTAGACTCGCTACGTTTCACATAGACTAAACAATATACACCGATTTTGGTTATTTTTTTTATCAAAGAACTGTGGCAAAATACATTTTAGCCTACATTTATGAAGAAAGATTTGCAAAATTCTACAACAGAAACAAAAAAGGAAAAAAAAATGTTTTTTTCCTTTATTTCCAGTTTTTTTTTTCATTTATAGCAAAAAAAAAAAAAAAAAAAAAACCCCAATGTTCAATAAATGCCACCAAATGAAAGTTCGATTGGTCTAAAAAAGAGAAAAGAAAGGTCTTCCAGGTGACTGGAGCAACTCAGAAAATGTTTGGGGAGACCACTTTAAAAAGGGAGGCACCTTTGTTGCCTATATTTAACCAGAGGACATTGATGGCATGTTGCCCTGACCAAATTTAGCAGTGTCAGTTAATTTGACAATAACTGCAAAATTTGAACTTTTTTTTTTTTAGAAAAACACATAAAGGGCTTTTTACGGTTTTCAAAAAAACTAAATCTTCAGCTTTGCTGGGAATGTCCCCAAGTACACATTCATAACAGCGGCACATTTACCGACACCTCATGGAAATCTCCTGATTACCACTTGCGATTGGGAGCTTTCCAATCACATGATGGCGGTGACAGCCAATTACGGCAGTCACATGACCCTAAACCATGCCTCCAGAAACCCCTTAAAGGGTCAGGAGGTACTTCCGCCAAGGGGTTAAAGAGTGTCTTGTGCCCAGAGGTACAAAATCCAATATCTTCACTCACTGAGACCAATATGGGCATTGTGAACATTACACTCCCCAGATCTCCATGCTCCATGTCTCCAGCTTACTATGCCACTTCCATACTTGCAGTCTGTGGAGAGCAGATGGCTCCAGGAAGTGGTTACATGCGCTGTAGCTTGTATATATACACACACACACACACACACACACAAGCAGTTTTGGTGTACGTGCATTTTAGACGTTTTACATTGCCAATAAATGCAGAATTACACTATTGTAATCTGCCTCCTTGGTTTTTCCCCCTTTACATATACAAACTGGAGGAAAGTTTATGAAAATATGGTCCTGGGGAGCGAATTTGGATAAAGCTGCTGGAGGAAATATATAGTCTTAAAAAGCACTAAAGACCCATTTATAGGGGGTCATGGAGATTTGGTGAGTGTGGTGTTCATTATTGTTTAGGAGAGTTGTTGTACTGTAGTATTGCAATCGCCACACCATATTGTCTTTACTTACCTTAGTTGTAATCTACTCATAGGATAGAAGCACAATGGGGGCAACTGTACTTGGTAATAAGACCCATAGCAGGGACTATTGAATTGATTAACAGAAGTTCATAACCTTTTAACTGACACTGCTAAATTTAGTATAGGTGGTCATGAAAGTGTTTTAAGCACATACTTTATATCCCTAGGAATCAGTGCAGGACACTACAAACTATTACAAGGCAGGTAGAATAATGGCAAAACATACACAATCAGAATGAACTCTTAGCTGATGTAGTGCAGTTATATAGGCAATATACATATTCCACTTACAGTACACATACAAAAAAAAGGATACAAAAAAGTCCAGGACAAGAACACCAAAGCTGCCAATCAGCCAGGGCAAATGATGTATAACATATTGGTTCTTATTGTGTCGAACAGCTGGTAACTTCAAAACAAGACTTAATCCATATGTGAAGTTTCCAAGCATTGCCAATACAAATAGCATATAGGAAGTTCCCTCTGTAGATTTTCTCTGGAACTGTAGAATAAATATAAATAAGAGCCTGTATACCCACATTCCTTAGCAATGTAATAATGACAGTGTCACACAATGCAGAACTCAGTCAGTCATTCTGAGCTAGAGCCTCATAAATTTAAAAATACTTACATTTTTATAAAGCTGAGGAAAACGAGAACCCAAATAAAACACTGAAGAAACATATCCACAGATGAATCCAGACATTTCGGTAATGCCAAGTTTTTTCTGTAATAGATCGATTAAAATATTTTAATTAGTCTACAAACAAAAACAGTAGCTTTTCTAATTACAAACCATTTTTTGGAGTTCCTGCCTGATTTTGCCTGGACCAAGATGTCAGTCTGTTGCAGGCAGGAGGAAACCATTTCCTCAGTATTTACCCTCCTCCCCATGCTCAGATAGCAACATTGTAAACTTTGTAGTAAGTCAAAAGTAAGCCTAGTAATGTCAGAAGTAGTACTCAAGTCATAAATACCTGGGTTACACTTACACACTACCATACATGTATTTAACCCCTTCGCACCAGCACCTCCCGGTACTTTAAGGGGTTTCTGACACCGGGAGGCCGGGCGGGGTTTAGGGTCATGTGACCATCATGATTGGCTGTCATGATCGGAAAAGGTCCAAATCGCACGAAGAAATCGGGACCTTTCCATGGGACACTGATACATGTGCTGGGAGCGTGCAGGATGCGTGCTCTCAGCACATTTGTTTACAAACCGTACGCAAATATGCGGCCGCTTGGCGTGAATGGACTAAAGTACATGCCAAAGAAAAATTAAATTAATAATTATTAAAAATCAATACACATTATACACAGTTTTATTTATTTTTTATGAAAACAACCACCTAGAATGTTGTTTTAAACACCCTAACTGCTGATTCATCTGTCAAGGAGAGGAGGGAGAACACATTTACCAACAGTTTCCCTGAAAGATTGTTTTGCTTGCAATAGGTATTCTCTAATAAAGCTTTTCAGGCATTATCAGGACATTTGACAGAACATAGCACCAAAATTCTATAGCAGAAGGTAAATCGGTAAATCTGTAAATTTAAAGAATTATTCCCATCACAGCTTTGATAGTTTTGTTTTAATAAGAAAACACATTTTAATAGTACTTCTCTTAGTCTTTGGGTTAATGATCTACCTGATCTAATTCTAGATCTGTAGTCTTCTCAAAGCTCCTCAGAAGCAACTGACTAGGGAGTATTACAGACAACGTAATAAATAGGAGGACCCAAGCTATGCACATTCCTTTAAGGCTTCCACTACCTGCAAAAAAAAAAAAAAAAATATATATATATAATAATAATAATATTTGAAACATTTGTAAAAAGGCAACACAAGCTTCCTTCCCCCACCCCAAAAGAAAAAAAAAAAAAAAAAAACCACTTCAACATAAATCGCCCCAAAAGGGCAAATGGTTGGTGTTCAGGTTCATGTTTCTTGACCCTGAAGGGACATTAACTTCTTCACTGATGTGCGCTGATGAGGCTGCACTGATGAGAATGCACTGAATCAGGGCACTGATGATCAGCACCCTGATTATCAGAGTAAATGTCCCCTGTCACAGGAAACTTATCTGCTTTCCTTTCCTCAGTGACAGCACTAAGGAAAAGAAATGCCAATAACCTGCATTTTTTCATGTCATCAGCTGTGATTGGTCACAGCTGATCACATGCTAAAAGAGACAACGTCATTGGCTCTATACCCTGAACGATGATGCACTGTGCCCAAGGGACACAGCTCACCACGCTATGTGACCCTGGGGCTGTGCATGCATGGGGCAAGAATGAGAGGACCTCATATGATGTCCTCCCAACGAGAGTGGCTATCATTGTACAATAGGCCAGGCGGGAACCAGATAATAATAACGAGGAAGTCAGGTAATTGTTTTCCTTATCTGTAGCAATACTACTTCCTAATCAAGGTGCCTTACCGTTTCCTGCATTGTTTTATTCTTAACCACTTCAGTACCAGGCACTTTTACCCCCTTTCTGCCCAGGCCAATTTTCAGCTGTGTCACACTTTGAATGACAATTGAGTAGTCATGCAACACGGTCTCCAAATAATTTTTCCCATTTTGTTCACACAAATAGAGCTTTCTTTTGGTGGTCTTTAATCACCACAGGATTTTTTATTTTTTTGCTAAATAAACGAAAAAAAGATTTAATATATAGTGAAATGCACATATACTAGGCACAAAAAGAAAGCTTTTTAAAACATCCCAGGATTAAGCAGCCAATGTGGATGAAATTTGAAGGGCTTTCAAACAAAACTAGTTGGTTCAATCACGACAAGATCAAATGCTCAGACAAGCGTTTTTTCAAAATTTCCATACAACCGTTCAAGCAAAATTCTACTAGTGTAAGGCAAATTTCAGGAGATGCAAACAGATCAGATAAAGATTCTGCAGGGAAGGCCTCTGTGGTCAAAGTCAGCAATCTAATGTGCTACCTGGCTCATAGAATCCTGCAAGACTGCCAAGAAGGCAGCTACACCCACCACAGCCAAGGTAGACTTTAGCAGAGAGCAAGCATCCAGGTTGTCAGTGTCAGGTACCTCAGGGTGCATGCTGCAAGCAGCGCCAAACAGTGGAGTTGGGTATACAGTCAGGTCCAAAAATATTGGGACATCGACACAATTCTAACATTTTTGGCTCTATATACAACCACAATGGATTTGAAATGAAACGAAAAAGATGTGCTTTTACTGCAGACTGTCAGCTTTAATTTGAGGGTATTTACATCCAAATCAGGTGAACGGTGTAGGAATTACAACAGTTTGCATATGTGCCTCCCACTTGTTAAGGGACCAAAAGTAATGGGACAGAATAATAATCATAAATCAAACTTTCACTTTTTAATACTTGGTTGCAAATCCTTTGCAGTCAATTACAACCTGAAGTCTGGAACGCATAGACATCACCAGATGCTGGGTTTCATCCCTGGTGATGCTCTGCCAGGCCTCTACTGCAACTGTCTTCAGTTCCTGCTTGTTCTTGGGGCATTTTCCCCTCAGTTTTGTCTTCAGCAAGTGAAATGCATGCTCAATCGGATTCAGGTCAGGTGATTGGCCATTGCATAACATTCCACTTCTTTCCCTTAAAAACTCTTTGGTTGCTTTTGCAGTGTGCTTTGGGTCATTGTCCATCTGCACTGTGAAGCAGCGTCCAATGAGTTCTGAAGCATTTGGCTGAATATGAGCAGATAATATTGCCCGAAACTCTTCACAATTCATCCTGCTGCTTTTGTCAGCAGTCACATCATCAATAAATACAAGAGAACCAGTTCCATTGGCATACATGCCCACGCCATGACACTACCACCACCATGCTTCACTGATGAGGTGGTATGCTTAGGATCATGAGCAGTTCCTTTCCTTCTCCATACTCTTCTCTTCCCATCACTCTGGTACAAGTTGATCTTGGTCTCATCTGTCCATAGGATGTTGTTCCAGAACTGTGAAGGCTTTTTTAGATGTCGTTTGGCAAACTCTAATCTGGCCTTCCTGTTTTTGAGGCTCACCAATGGTTTACATCTTGTGGTGAACCCTCTCTATTCACTCTGGTGAAGTCTTCTCTTGATTGTTGACTTTGACACACATACACCTACCTCCTGGAGAGTGTTCTTGATCTGGCCAACTGTTGTGAAGGGTGTTTTCTTCACCGGGAAAGAATTCTTCAGTCATCCACCACAGTTGTTTTCCATGGTCTATCGGGTCTTTTGGTGTTGCTGAGCTCACCAGTGCGTTCCTTCTTTTTAAAGATGTTCCAAACAGTTGTTTTGGCCACGCCTAATGTTTTTGCTATCTCTCTGATGGGTTTGTTTTGTTTTTTTTTTCAGCCTAATGATGGCTTGCTTCACTGATAGTGACAGCTCTTTGGATCTCATCTTGAGAGTTGACAGCAACAGATTCCAAATGCAAATAGCACACTTGAAATTAACTCTGGACCTTTTATCTGCTCATCCTGCCCAATTGTCCCATTACTTTTGGTCCCTTAACAAGTGGGAGGCACATATGCAAACTGTTGTAATTCCTACACCGTTCACCTGATTTGGATGTAAATACCCTCAAATCAAGGCTGAGAGTCTGCAGTTAAAGCACATTTTATTTGTTTAATTTCAAATCCATTGTGGTGGTGTATAGAGCCAAAAATGTTAGAATTGTGTCGATGTCCCAATATTTATGGACCCGACTGTATAGCACCTGGTACAGTGGGGCTGTTCCCCATATGACTAGCACTGTACACATTACACTGGAAATAGGAACAAACAGAAGAGAGTTCCATGAGTCTTTGCGATCAGGAGGAGGGGTTATTCTGGGCTGACCAAAATTTATTTTTGTTTGCCAGTGTCCAATCCTCTTGTAGGCAGCAGTACAGTCCCTAAACTCCTTGTGCCTCAATGGATGAAAAAGAAAATACATTTTGTTGCTCTTGTAAACTGATAAAGGCATTTGCATAATATGCTGAAAGTGGGTATTTTCATTACAAAATTGACAAACAAGTATGGAAATAGAAATACAAATGCTACCTTTCATGCTTTTGTTCTTTAATTTGTAGTAGGCAAACTGTGAAATCATTATGAGATCCATGTTTACATAAAAAATGGCAGTGACAATCTGTAAAGAATAAAAGATCAAAAATATTATTAAGAAAATGCAGTTAGTCCTTTAACAAAATGCTATATTTTAGCAGTAACAGGTCTCTTGTTTAGATTTGATGGGAACTTGGCTAATGGAAATTAGAATTTGGAAGGTTGGAGTGAACGTAGTTCTGGAAAATGGTTTTCAAAATGCACTTTGCTGTTTTACATTAAAGCAACTGTCACTTAAAACTTGTAATCAAAGAAGAAAGCAAATATTTGCCTCTCTCATTTCCCCAAGTCACTGAATTCTGCTCTGATGAAGAGGAATTGCCTCTCAGAGTCTGTTCCCATGTGTAACATGCTGTATGTCCGACTGCCTTGTTTGGGGACGGTTTCCTTTTATTATACTGTTCTTTCAGTTTAGAGATCCATTTCAAACAAAGATATATGTATATCTTGGGCAGCAGAGACTTTAGAACCAACCTCGCACTGCAAGAAAGATCCAGTTATTCCCCTTGTTTAAAGTGGTTTAAAAGGATCTAATTTTTTTTATTTATTTTAATAAAAATGTGTCATACTTACCTGCTCTGTGCAGTGGTTTTGCACAGAGCAGCCCTGACCCTTTTCTTCTTGGGTCCCCGCACTCCTGCCTCCTCCCCCTTGACCAGTGCATCCAAAAGCAAGCTGCTTGCAATGTGGGCACTGGTGCGTGCTCGCTCTCGAGCCCAGCTCTATGCGTCCATAAGAAAAAAAAGTCACAGCTTGGTCCCACACCCCCTGCTCCCTCCTCATTGGCTCACTGGCTGTGACTGACAGCAGTGGAAGCCAATGGCTCATGCTGCTGTCTCAGGCAATGAGGAGAGGGAGTCCCAGGACAGCCGAGGCCCTCGTGCACATTGCTGGATTGAAAGGTGACTCAGGTAAGTATTAGAAGGGGCTGTGAGGGGAGCAGCACACAGGTTTTTTTTTACCTTCATGCATAGAATGCATGAAGGTAAAAAATCCTTCTGCCTTTACAGCCACTTTAAATGCTACTCTAAATGGAAAACAAATTGAGGAAAAAAAAATTGTTAATATAATTCTTGAAAACTGAAGGAACAGTATAGTTCTATGTCAAAAGGGAATATGTCCCCAAGCAATGCAATCTGACAAAGCATTTTACGAATCATAAAACTGAAAGTTAAAATGTGATTTCACCAGTGCTAATTTTACTTGTTCCTGATTTTGGGTTGTCCAAGAAAAAACAAAAAAAAACCCATATCATTGTACACAGGATGTGTGTTGCATGTCCAGACTTTCTTCCTGCCCTGCTCCTGGGACCCCCCTTCCCAGTATACAGTTATTGTCGGCTTTGATTAATCAAAGCTGAAATCACTTTATACTCAGAGAAGGTGTCGGCACCTACAGCTGTCCAAAAAAAGGTCTGAATCAGTGTTTATAAACACTGCTTAGATGCAAATATAGAATGATAGAAAATAACAAAATTACTTTGTATCATTCATCTGTAGATCAAATGAATGAACTTAGAACTGTTTGTTAGTATTTATACACATTTCCCATTTAAACAAGTGCAAATCTGAAAAAAAGAAAAAGAAAAATGAACTATTTATTATTTGTAAATAACTTTGCAATGCTTTGTATCAGAATCATAATGTTAGTGTAATTTTAAACTGGAAAAATTACAGAATAAAATGCATACATTTTATGTGCAGTAACACTATTTTTAAACTAACACTGCTCAAAAAAATAGAAAAGTGCTTTTTGTGTTTTATTGTCTAATGATCACAAAAAAAAATTGAAAATCATTGTTGCAAGACAATATCATAAAAAAAATCCTTGTTTGTCTCTAAAAACAATATATGTATTACACTGTTATCTTAAGTAATGCTAAAGCTGTTGCCAAATAAACAGGTTCATAGCAGAAATGAAAAAATTGCTCGTCCATAAGGGGGTTAACAGGTGCAACAGGCGAAGTGGTTAAATACTTAAAATTCTAATACAAAAGTTAAGGAACCTGAGGGAGAGCCATGTAAACACCTTGTCATACCAAGTGCCAACAAGGAAAACAAAAATTGGGCAACAGCAGCAAATAAGTAAAAACACATTTTTAGTAAAAATCTAAAGTCCAAACATCCTTATACTGAGCAACCAGCCTGGCTGCTGACATCTTTGGGTGGCTGGCTTCAGGGTCCTAAACGCCAGCCGCTGTCATTGGCCAGACGTGCATGTACATAAGTTCTGGAAAATTCAGCATTGCCAAATTTGTACAGTGAGCTGCGCCTGCGCAGCTCACTATACAGGGGTGGACAGGCAGGTAGGTAGCTTTAATACAGAGGAGACAAAGCATGTCTCTTCTGCATTAAAAGTCCTGCCTGTCTGCCCATTTTATATTTTTTACCTACTTCCACTTTAACTCCTGAACACAATTTTGCAAGTTTGACAAGTGTTAGTAAAACTGTACATATCTTCGCAAACTTCTGTGTGTATCCAGGTGGATTATATTTTGTTTTTTCAGGACAATGTGGACTTTCATTTGGTAGCAAATGCTAACTGCTTCCCGTCCACACTATAGCAGATATACTTTCTCCCTTGAGGGAAAGAAATTCAATACATCTCTCCTTCCATTCAGAAAGAAAGAAATCATAGGGATGGGCTGCACAGTGGCTAATCACTGTTATAGGCAATCAGGTCACTCAGAACCGGTTGTCCCGGGTCCAGACTGTGAGTATGGGACCAAGGGCTGTCAGTGAGAGCCAGGTCTCTGTGCTCTGAGAGTGCTCCCAGCACAAAGACAGATACACATTATGCGTCCCCACGGATAAAGGCCCACTTTCATCAAGCTGTAAATATGTGTATGGTCGGTGGGAAAAGGATTAAAAAGGGGATTGTAAAGTTTTGTGTGCTTATTGGCCAGGGCTAAAAATATTAGTTTTTTTTGTTTGTTATTTTAATTTAGACAGATAAATAAAAAAAGATTGCAAATGGATATTGTATAGTATTTTATCCAGCCAGCAGGCAGTTTCATGTTATACTGGATATGCTTAGCTCCTTTGAAGTAAAAGACAGTTTACAGAACTCAATAGCTCAAACTCAAATTTACACACACACACACACACACACACACACACACACACACACACACACACACACACTAGTGGCTTCTGCCTTATCCAGACAGAGCGAGTCTAAAGGCAAGAGGATTCTCTTTTTTTTCTGATAACCCAGAGTTCTCTTGGAATCCTTTGTATGTATTTAATATTTATTTTCTAAACCAAAGCATGTAGATCTTATTATAACTGATATAAAGCATTAGATTTTGAAAAGTATAAACTTATATAAAAAGACAAAATAAAACCCTCAAAATTTGAAGATAATAGATTACCTTTGAAGCCTCACACTAAGCAGGGAAAACTAAACAAACAAAAACACAATGGGTCTCCCCACACTGAAAGGGGCTAAATGCTTGTTAAAGCTGAACTCCAGGAAACCTCGTTTATGTCGAGGGGATTTTGGAAAAGCAGATTTACTTACCCAATCCACACTGCTAGATTGGTCCCTGCTGCTTCTTCTCCCCAGTATTCTATAGCCCTGCACTGGACCTGAGCATGCCAAGGGACAGTCCACTGCCAGCAGTCAGCCACATTGTGGAGGATCGGGTAAGTAAAAGTGCTTTCACTGTCTCCCTAGATTGAACAAGCAGTTCATTCTATGAATTGCAAGCACAGCCTCGGGAAAATTTTTTAATTTCCTGGAGTTGGGCTTTGGGGGTTGAAGAAAAAGGTGCAATACTTGCCTCACTCACTCCAGAGGGCTCCCTCCATCTGTGTGAACATACCCCCAAAGCCTCTTATTTGGCACTCTATCCAGCAGTTGCACTCTTAACATCACTTATAAATGTAGGACCTAAAGTCTTGCATTGTATGCAAAGACAGAGAGGACTCAACCACAACCTAAAGAGAGAAGAGCATGGGAGCAAGGAATAAAGTTTTACATACAATTACTCTACCTCTAGAGTTAAGCTTTTAACCTTTGCAGTGCTCCAGGGGCACACATTGCAAATGTATTTTTCTTATATTCATCAATCCTGGAGTCCAGCTTTAAGAAAGCAGGGCAATAAAAAAAAAGTGAATGTAATTTGCCCCTGAATGCCTGTCAAATGAGGATGTGTGACTGGGTCTGTATTTTTTTCAGCACATTTGAGTTAGAATTTACACAAGATCCTAATATTTTAATAAGCCAGCATTTCACATTAAGGAAAAAATGCTTTACAGTAAAAATGGTTACCTGTATTGGCAGTTGTCTGGTCAGATAGCAGCCAACAAGGTTGGTAAAGTCCCCACCCAACCAACATAACAGAAACCCTAGGGAAAGTGCCTGGTCAACTTTTCCATTCTTATAGGCAACGTATAGTTGGCTAGAGAAAGAATAAAATAGTATCATTTCATGTGAACAAATGACATAGGAACTTAAAGACAACAGTATTAAGATTGTAAATGCTAAAACATGTCAATGGCAACTTGCTAAAATGTTAAGCTTCCAACCCACATTCAAGTCAATTCAAGGAGCCAGATGAGATACTGGGGTTTATTTACTAAAGCTGGAGATTGCAAAATCAGGCTCACTTTAGTAAATAAACCCCGTTGTGTCTGCTGTTTTAGCTCATGATAGGTCTTGCATCAAAATGTTTAGTTGAACAAAACAGTGAACATTTAAGGCCAATTCACAGGGACTGCTGCAATTCCTGCCTGTGGGAAAACTACCTCCATGCAGCTTCCGTGCGTGAACAGCCAGCCTGGCACAGACAGTCATATACTTCATACAAATGAATTGCCAGGGCTGCCACTATTCACATACTCATACAAGTGGTGACATGCCATGAGAGACTCTGATCATCCCTGGATGCAGACAGTCTGTGTCCAGAGACAGAGGTTTTGGCGGTAGAAATTGTTCAGTGTGTATGCAGCCATAGTACAAAGTACAACTGCATCCAAATACAGAGTTTAACTGTCTCTGAACACTACAAGCCAGCAGCCCGTGTGAATGAGCCCTATGAAGCAGAACTTAACTTATGGTTTCCTAAAACAATTACATACAAGGCATGCTGTGAATGGTAACTGTCACACAGATGCTTGTGCTCTCAGCCAAACTGTCAAATGGCTGTAAAGAATAGAAGGGTTTAGTTCCACTTTAACCACTAAATCAGTAGTTCTTCCCATCTTCTCCCCTGCCCTCTTCAGTATACACTATACTGCTAAAAGTAGTCTCAGGCCATAGGGTTCCATATTGAGTTGGCCCACCCTTTGCAGCTATAACCAGCTTCAACTCTTCTGGAAGGCTGTCCACAAGGTTTAGGAGTGTGTCTATGGGAATGTTTGACCATTCTTCCAGAAGTGCATTTGTGAGGTCCGGTACACTGATGTCGGATGAGAAGGCCTGGCTCACAGTCTCCACTCTAATTCATCCCAAAGGTGTTCTATCGGTTTGGGATCAGGAGTCTGTGCAGTCCAGTTAAGTTCCTCCACCCCAAACTCACTCATCCACGTCTTTATGGACCTTGCTTTGTGTACTGGTGCGCACTCATGTTGGAACAGGAAAGGGCCATCCCCAAACTGTTTCCACAAAGTTGGGAGCATGAAATTGTCCAAAGTACTGTCAGGCACTGGGACGCGGCTTCACTCAACCAGGGATTTGAAATCCCTGCGGTTTAATCTCGTATTTGGACCTCCTCTACGAACAAGAGACATTCTAATTGGTCAGCAACGTCAAGTGGATGACATTCAGTCTAGCCTGTCCTGTCTGTGCTGGAAAGAGAGGAGAGAAAGCAGCAGGGATTTCAAATCCCCAGACTGGTGAAGCGGCATCCTGGTGCCTGACAGTAAGGGATCGTAGGAACTGGTACAGCGGGACTGAGGGGGTCCAGTGTACGGTCACCTTGTAGATTTTCTGCAGAGGTGAACTTACACTTTCAATGTGTCATCCCAGCCCACCCACAAAGCTTTCTTTCTTCTTCTTGCTTGACATGCAGTGTGTTTTTTTAGCAGGCTCCTAGATTCATTGCAAATTTGTCAAGCCCTGGTATAGTGCGAGGTCACCGTAAGGCAGTGTTTCTCAACTCCAGTCCTCATGGACCCCCAACAGGTCATGTTTTCATGATTTCCCTCAGATGAAACAGCTGTGGTAATTACTAAGGCAGTGAAACTGATCAAATCACCTGTGCAAAATAATGGAAATCCTGAAAACATGACCTGTTGGGGGTCCATGAGGACTGGAGTTGAGAAACACTGCCTTAAGGCTACTTTCACACTGATCCACCTCAAAAACACATAGGCGTTTTTACTGCGTTTTTTCAAAGGATACATGACTTAAAACTGCACCAAAACCGTTTCTCAGAGGTGTTTTTCAGGTGTTTTCCATCGGAAGAGGCCTTTTTGGGGTGTTTTTTTTTTTTTTTAACTCCCCAAACATGCCCCAAAGAAGCTTTTACACCGCACTGCAAGTGCAACATCTCAGTGTAAAAACCTACATAGATATACATTCACATAAATAGGGAAACTCTTTTCTTCAGCTTTTCAGGTGCTTTTTTTAAAGCAAAAACACCTGAAAAACTCAATGTGAAAGTAGCCTAACTGGGGTATTCTCCTCACTTTGGGAGATTTCCTCTAACTTCCTGTTCTTTCTGGAATAAGAAGTGAAGGGAAAATTCCCCTAAAAAAAGTACATAGACTGCAAAATAATAGAACAGTTCATTAAAACAAAACAAACACAGGAGGGGATATGCATGCACTTTAAAGCCTCTTGCACACTCCAGCTTGAATTAGTACAGCATTTGTTTTACTGAGGTAAAATGTGCACCTCTTTACACACCGGCGTGTAAACAAGCGCCATGTATTCTTCAGAAAAAATAAAAATCTACATTTTTGGTCTGCCATTTTGGTTTGTGCATTTGCATAAAAATATTACTGAATTTTCCCTAATATATTGTGCACACAAAAACCCACAAATATGCACATAAATACACACAAAAGTCTGAAATTACATCCCAAAAAAGCAGATTCTCAAACACCAGTACTGTGTACAACAGGCCTTGATCCACTATTCCCAATGGTGTTTGCATTGTAAACACATCCATTCCTGGTATACCAGAGAACTCCGCTACCAAGCAGTCACCACAACAGATAAAACAGGGGTCACTTCTGGATGAAGAGCCCCCATAAGGGAGGACATGCTCAGTCTCTCCCTCTGCTGGTAGTTGTAGTCCCCCTCAAAGACCCAGCTCCGCACACAGAGGATAGTTACGGTAATGGGAGATAATTACGGTAATGCGGCGAAGAGGAAGCAGACGATGGACACCAGTCCGATGATGACACTCCAGTACTCCCAGCTGTTCTCCACACACTGCTCCAGCAGCTGCCAGATCCAATCGCTGCCATCGGGGCACAGCAGCCGCTTCGCCTCAGCCTGAGACACGTTCACCGCACTGAGCAGAGGACGTCGGGGCCCCCCGTCCGCCATCACACCACCGCCTCCTCCTCGGACTGAAGGGCCACCGGTCTCCCGCTCAGGACCACAGGGCCCCACATTCAGCGGGCACAGCAGCCTGCGAACTGCTACCCTCCGCTGTCTCCCTCAGCGACACCTGGCGACCGGATAATGCTCCTCTCATTGGCTGACGCTGGAGAAATCCCCGCCCTTTTCCCGAGTTCGGTCCATGCCCCAAGCAGTAACGTGTCCCTGTGTACGTCACACGGAGTAAACACGGGATGGGGAGGCGCGGGATCATGTGGGAGCTCCACCTCCTACGGCCATACTGTAGATCTACAGTGCTCAAAAAATGAAAGGAACACTTCTTCAAACACAACAGATCTCAATGGGGAAAATATCATGCTGGATATCTATACTGATATGGACTGGGTAATGTGTTAGGAATGTAAGGATGCCCCATCGTTTGATGGAAAGGAAAATTATCAACCTACAGAGGACTGAATTCAAAGACACCAAGGAAATAAAGTGAAAAAGTGATACAGCAGGCTAGTCCATTTTCCTGAAATTTCAGTGCAGCAACTCAAAATTGTACTCAGTAGTTTGCATGGCCCCCATGTGCTTGTATGCATGCCTGACAACGTCAGGGCATTCTCCTGATGAGACAACGGATGGTGTCCTGGGTATAGCGGCAAGATGAGTCCCCCCATGAAGATGTGTCTCCCTCACACATCTGCGCTTGTCACGGTTTCAGAGACGATCAAGCGATCACAGAGCTATTGCATCTGACCTCTCTCCTTTCCATGATGCTTCTATCCATCTTGCGGGAGCGTCAGCTATTGATCCAGCGGTGTGTGTACTCAGCGGTGCAGCCTAAAAGGGGTTAACTGTGGCAGTTCTGTGCTATGGATGGTGATCGGCGATCGGCTACTTCTGCAGAAAACCGTGACATGCGCAGATGCGTCAGGGAGACACATCTTAATGGGGGGACTCATCTTGCCCCTACACCTGCATACTCTCGCCACATGAAGCCGGGCATTGTTGTGCACCAGGAGGAACCCAGGACCCACTGTACCAGTGTAGGATCTGACAATGGGTCCAAGGATTTCATCCCAATACCTAATGGCAGTCAGGGTGCCATTGTCTAGCCTGTAGAGGTCTGTGCGTCCCTCCATAGATATGCCTCCCCAGACCATCATTGACTTATCACCAAAAATGGTCATGCTGAACGATGTTACAGGCAGCATAACATTCTCCACGGCTTCTCCAGATCCTTTCACGTCTATCACATGTGCTCAGGGTGAACCTGCTCTCATCTGTGAAAAGCACAAGGTGCCAGTGGTGGACCTGCCAATTCTGGTGTTCAATGGCAAATGCCAGTCGAGCTCTATGGTGCCGGCAGTAAGTACAGGCCCACTAGAGGATGTCAGGCCCTCAGGCCACCCTCATGAAGTTTGTTTCTAATTGGTCAGAGACATTCACACCAGTGGCCTGCTGGAGGACATTTTGTAGGGCTTTGGCAGTGCTCATCCTGTTCCTCCTTGCCCAAAGGAGCAGATACTGATCCTGCTGATGGGTTAACCCATCTGATTCGATTGGCATTCGCCAGACAATTCATGTAGCAGTTACTGCCTGGAATCCATCTGTCCTTAGCTCCGGCATTGGCTGAGCTGAGAATCCTTCGTCCCCTCCTGAATTCTCCTTGGGATGTATATCATCATTTGCCTAGGCATGGAAACCAGGAAGTAAATGAAGGAATGCAAAAAACATGTTAAAACAAGTAAATATGATATACTTTTCTATCCATTCACTAAAGCTAGCAGCATAAGGATTATCAATAGTCCATGTCAGTTGAGAGAGTGAAGTTCCGCTCTACGTTCTCCAAAAAAAAAAGGTTCCAAGCCAAAAGCTGTACCAGATGAAAAGCATTTGTGCTCTACTATCCATGCCCTCAGTTAGCTCAGAGGAGCTCATATGCAGCCCTCTTGCAGCATCCTCCTTACATAGACACACAGCTTACACACTTGCAGAAGAGCGGCACTCTGAATTCCTAGAAAGCACCTGTACAACGGTCACGGTAAGCTGTGCGGTCTCCTGACACGGCCTTAGTAACCAATGACATCATCAGTTGGCAGGATGCAGGTGGGCAGCCCACACAACACACAGTACCTGTGCAGCTTAAATGGTGGCTTAAAAAGGCAACAGACCAGCAGCGCTGTTAAAAAAAAAAAAGGCTGAGATCGCAGGGGAAAATGATTACTCTACAATTGTCTTTCTTAGTTGGGGCAGTTTTTTTACACTTTTACTGCGGCACCCCTGAGGACTCTTGGCAGTATTGCAGGTTGACGCAGCACCCCACAGCACTTTACATTATAAAGCAAGCCATAGATGGTGCAATTCTCTTTCCTGCAATCGGGTTGCAGGGAAGAAAATTGCTCAATTGCCTCATCAATACAGTCAGTGTTGATGGAGGAATTCCTCCCACAGCACTATTGTGTTCTGCCAGTGGGGAGCCTTCTTTGCAAACAGAACAAAATGATCACTGATGGCTCCCGTTGCTGCCTCCTTGTCCAGAGAGGATAGAAAGCCATCAGAGTCGCTGCATTCCCATAGAATACAAAAACTGTAGCTGCTGACTTTTAAAGTACAGCCACTTACCTGTCCCTCGGTCCAGCGGTGTCCTCACCACCGCTGGTTTCACTGACCATCTTCTCTCCCTGGCGCTGGCATCTTTAGTGTGGGCACCCGGCTGTGACAGTTTGCGGCCTAACAGCCGGGTGCCCATATGTGCAGGAAGCGCTGCGCTTTGTGAATGGCCCCATAGTTCTGGAACCTGTCACATGTCCCAGAAGACTACGGGGAGGGCAACTTCCAAATGCCTAGGTGATCGCAGCGGAAGTGGGAGCAGGTACCTGTCAAATTCGGGTAGCCGCCCCCCAAAGGTGCCAAATCTTAATGGGGAGTGGGGGACAAAGCATTACAGCGGAACGTCCCCTTTAGGTGGAGCTCCGCTTTAAGGTTAAAAACTTTCTGCCCTTAGAACCACTTTAAAAGTGAGGGAATCACTGGTTGTCACCAGAACTAGTGTCCCCAATGGAAGATATCCCCTCTAGTCCTGTTCTGGGAACAACCCATAATTTGGGATTTTCTTTTACTTTCAGTGATTCTTTATGACGGGGTCACAGAAAGGAATAAAAACCTGGCTGGTGTGAGACAGAGAGGGTAAAAAGAGCATTGTAAGGTCTAAAGAGTAGTAGTCACATTGGAAAGGGAAAAACGACAGGGAAATAAAGGGTCACTTGCAGTCAGTCAGGTGCAATGTTTGCAGACACTCTCTTGTTTGTGCCCTAAAGTGCCAGGAAACTTATAATAAAAATTGCTACTTTTGTAAAAAAAAATGACTTTGTTAGAGTATTTCCCCCTTAGACACTGCACCACCTATATAGGACTATGGGGTGGAGTGTGTTTGTCAATGATTCAAATAGGAACTGATGAAGGACAGGTGTGTGCAGGAGCAAACTTTACACAAAAGACAAGCCAAGGCCATAAAGATAACATCAGCTATCTCTGATCAAACAAAACAGGAAAGTAATTCATCTCTATAAAGCTAGGTACACACTGGCTGAAATTAGGCAGTTCAGCCGACTAGCTCAGTGTACAGCTGTCTCTGGAAAATCAGCACCTGACCAGTGCTCGCAGCCAATAGCTGCAAGTGCTAACAAAGATTTAAAGTAGAATTCTACACTTTATCATTATACCTAAGCAGTTCAGTGGCTTGAACAACAAAACAAAATGACTCGATTCCCCCATCCTCACACTTGAGGTGTATGGGGGAATCATCCTTCTGAGCTATTGTATTTTGACAGTGGGAAGTCTTCCCGGCTATCAATACACTGATCAGCACTGCAGGCTAAAGCCTGCAGGGTGATTGTACTGAAGTTGATTGGTAGATTGACTTCTGTACAACTACCCTGCCCATATATTGATCAAAATTTGTCCAGTCCCTGCTGAACCAACTGAATTTGATCCATGTATGGTCAGCTTAACTATGCTTAACAATGCTCCATTCACCCTCCAAACACCTATACTAACTACCCTGTGGAAGAGAGATCTGTATAATGACCTATCTTCAGGCTGGACCTGTCACATGGTCTCCCCTGTGTCAGGCACTGGCGGCTGCAGGGAAGAGGAGGGAGTGACAACAATGGATAGGCCATAGTAAGCCTATGAGTGATGTCACCACTTCCAGGCATTGTCAGGCGTTGTTGAGCACTCTCTCTTTCTTCCCTGTAGCCAGCATTGGCTAACACGGGAGACCAGAGCAGCCTGACAATAGGTAAGTATATGCATTTTTTTACACAGGTTAGTATTAATGTTGGGACGGGGGGGGGGGGGTAGTGGTTTTAAAGCGGTAGTAAAGTCTGATTCTTCATCTTGAAAATGCAGGCTTAGGTCATAATGTACTAGTATTCACTACATACTAGCACATTATATGACAGACATACCTGCTGACAGAGCCCTCCTGCGCTGTGCTGACACGGCTTTCCCTGGTCTCCAGCGGCTTCCATGTTCGACCGGTCTTCCTTCCAGGATCCCTATCCTCCTCCGTTTGAATGGACGGACCACAGAGTTACATCTGCACAGCATGCAGAGTGGGCCGTAAATGTGCTCTGAGCTGTACATGTGCCCACATTACCCGGTGACAGCGGATTTCAATTCCCCAGAGTTTACTACACCTTTGGGTATTGTTAGGCCGGCCATACATGGATCGAAATTCAGCCGGTTCAGCAGGGACAAATTTCTATCCATGTATGAGCAGGGTGGTTGTATAGAAGTCAATCTACCAATCAACAACGCCTGTACAACCACCCTGCTGGACTTTTGAAGCTAGTGAAAGCTTTTGAAGTTAGTAAAAGCTTAACATTCTACTTTAAGCAAAATGTATTTAATGTATTTATTTAAAGTATTACTAACCCAATGACCCTGCATTCACTATATCTGGTCTCCCACAGTACACAGAACGTGGAAATGCA